GACCAGCCATAGCCCACAAATTTCCTGATAGAACCATAGCTCATGTCGCTGGATCTCCAGCGGAACGCATTTACGGGAAAATCTAGAAAGAAGCCTTGGTTATCATCGTTGCCGTGAAAAACCTTCATACAATGCTCAATGGGGGACACTGCACCTTTTTCACCAGCCACAAGCCGCTGTTGGCCATTTTGGCAAGCGCCTTACTGAAAAACACCCCCCCCCCCCCCCCCCCCTCCCCCCCCCCCCCCCCCCCCCCCCCCCCCCCCCACCCCCCCCACCCCCCCCCCCCCCCCCCCCCCCCCCCACCCCCCCCCCCCCCCCCCCCCCCCCCCCCCCCCCCCCCCCCCCCCCCCCCCCCCCCCCCCCCCCCCCCCCCCCCCCCCCCCCCCCCCCCCCCCCCCCCCCCCCCCCCCCCCCCCCCCCCCCCCCCCCCCCCCCCCCCCCCCCCCCCCCCCCCCCCCCCCCCCCCCCCCCCCCCCCCCCCCCCCCCCCCCCCCCCAACCCCCCCCCCCCCCCCCCCCCCCCCCCCAACCCAAACCCAACCCCCCCACCAACAAAACCCACACCACCAACAACAAAAATAATACCCCCACACAAAACTAATCCAGGGATAGGGAAAGACAGCAGAAATACTGGATAAATTCCTGTTGAACTACGGAACAACTGCAAATCCGCAAAGTCCTGGCGGCTATTCACTCGCCTAAGCTCTGATAGATAGGCAGTTACATCTAGCACATGTGTTATCAGACCTGTTGTGAGACAGTAGTCGATCGTAACTCAAGAAAGTCAGAGGTTGCGACCAGGAGGTCGTGTGCTGGTCAGAGACTATCGATGCGGCCACCAAACCTGAGCTGTCGGCATCATTAAAAGGCATATTGGGCGTATCTTATACTACGTCCATTTGGGTCCACTGCAGGGTATGCCTCACACTAACTAGCACGGTCAAACGCTTTATCGTGCCCAAAAGTGCGGTGTTGGATCTCTTAGTCTTGATCTATTATATGCGTTCGAAATGGAACGTCTTGTAACCTAGCACCAACGACAGACAGCACACCACAGCCCAGACACAAATCCAGCCGTACACGTAAGCCAGTAACTCCGTTCCGGCTTGCTCCAAGACGGAGATCGCACACTGAACAAGTTAAGGAGGGAGGTGCCAAGTGGGTATATTTTCTCGAGCGCAGACCAACGAAGCTCGCGAATCGTGGTCACTCACTCATATGTCCCAAAGACCAGAAAGAGCTGAGCCCAAGGTCAGACCCAGCTGGTGCCCAACCGTCAGGTTGCAACACCACAGGAAGGCATCGATCAACAGACTAGTGTTAATTTGTAGTCAGCTGTCATGATCAATCGAACTACAACAAGCACAGTCCATCGCAACGATACCGGACTTTAGGATGGTGCGATGGTTGCGTACCCCAGTGACCCATTGAGCTATGCTGGGTGGCACTTTCCATGTGCTTTCAGAGCCACTCATACAAGACCGGTCAATGGTTAGGGGTCAAAGTAACTCAGTCTCATAATCCAATCCTCTTCGGGGTTTAGAGAGAGTTCCATGGCCCTTTTCCTTTAAAACCTAGCCATAGGAAACAACAGGTCTACGGGTTATAAGCTCACAGATCGATTGGCGTAGAGCATGAGCGCCACTCAGTCTCTGACGGTGGAAGCGCACCTTCCGGTGCTCAATGCTTTGCTACCGCCAGACTCAAGCCAGGCAGCCCTTGGTCAAATTGGTGCAAACCCGCCAACTCCCACCGGCGGCTGACGCTAGTCGCAAGTGTCTAACGTAATGTAGTCGTAAAACACATGTGAATTGTTCCAACACTTCAAAGGTTGTTTGTAATAGGCCTCGTGCAGATCCAAAATGGGTCACTGTAATCACACTCCAGAGCGGAACTTGCTTCTCATTGCTTTGTGCGTCACGTTTTTGAGCTTAAGGTTCCGGGTGGATTCTTTCAAGCAAACCTCCAAATCCCCCACTGTCTTGTGGGTCAGACTATCGAGTCAACGGTTAGCGATAGGACACCTGAAACAAAACCGCTCTCTCGGAATGGGCAGCCGGAGACTATCCTCTGCCCTCTCGACCACGTCGACAATTTTCTTCTTATGTTTTCCCCTACTCAACTTTCTTCTCCCCCTTCTATTGAGCAAGAATCTGCCGCTGACCTCGCTGCTTCTGCCATCGGTACTCGTAACTCATCCATCAAACCACAAGTCTCATTTCACATCGGTTCTTTTAACGTCCGCACTCTGGATCTGGCCGGTCAACAAGCACCACTGATTCTCACTCTATTTTGATATTGATGTGTGCTGTGTCTCCGAAACACGCATACAAGATGACAGCATTGCGACGAATCTTTGACTCCCTGGTTCTGAATTTGACGACAAAGATTACACTCTTCGCATCTTTGGTGATACCGACCCAGTGACTCAAGGTATTTACGGTGTTGGTATCACCCTCAGCAGACATGCTAAAGGTAATCTACTCGATTGGATACCGGTGAACAGTCGCATGTGGGCGATTCAACTTCGAATCTATATTGGGGTTAATAAGCACCGTAGGAAGACAAGGTGCCTTTTCTTTGCCTCCGTTTATGCTCCCTCTAGCTGCAGTTCGAAGGGTGCCAAAGATTCTTTCTACTACCATCTTTGGCTGTTGAACTGTTCCCTGAGATTGGCAATTTAGTTGCAAACGTTTCGTCACCAATCGAGGTGAGAGTGCGTAGGCAATCTCACCGAGGCTCCCCTACGCTACTGCATGCCACTCAACTACGCACTGATGATGTCACCTCGATTGGTGACGAAACGTTTGCAACAAAATTGCCAAGCTTGGCGAACAATTCAACAGCCATCTGAACCACCTGAGCTACCAGTCTTCATTGCTATAGACTACCATCTTTCCTTTCTCCTCCGCGTGACGAAGAATACCTACATCGTGATTGTTGCTGGTGACTTGAATCTTCAAGTGGGTCGTCTTTCAGACTCTGAACAACACCCGGGAGGGCGCTTTGAGTCAATGCACGTCGAACAGACAATGGTGATCGATTCCTGCAACTGTGCGCCGACCACAATTTTTATCTTAGCAGCACTGGTTTCCAGCACAAACCTTCACACTGCGTCACCTATCGCCCACCGAATTCCTCAATGACCTGGACGCAGATTGACCGTATTGCCAACAGCTACAGTCTAAGACTGTCGGTCAATTTGGAGCATATGCCTGGATTTCGACCATGCTCTAGTGCTTGCACGCTTGGCGCTCGCTTTTCCCACTTCAAAGAAGTGCCTATGTTCTAACCTTCTTAACTGTAATTTGAACTCGCAGTCTGCGGTTTAACAATATCAACGAACTGACCCACCAATTGTCAGTGATGAATGAAGTTGGTGAGCCGAACGCTGACTTGGGTTGCCTCAAGTGTGCCATGAAGAATGCCTTTGACGCTTTCTGTGTACCTGACTTGAGACGTCGTAGCTGCGAATGAACCTTTGAGGCATCGATCAGTTTGATCGAAGCGCGTCAACAGGTTCCGATGGACAATACATTTCAGCGTATCCATAACTTCCTGAAACGACGTTTCACTGGAAGTCTTTGAGTTGACCGGGAACCTTGGTGGGTTGCAAAGGCCCTTGAGATAAAGAAAGCCAGCGTTATTGGAAACGAACGGGTGCTATTCCAGCTCATCCGGAACACGCGTCCGAAGAAGCCATCAGTTAGCGAGACAATAGCTGAGAGAGATGGACTGCTTGTCGAATCTCAGCGCCGTCGACTAGCCTGTTGGGTTGAACATTTTTAGGAGCAGTTCAGCAGGCCTGCTGTAACACCACCGCTTGTCAAATCACCTGAGCCGACGTGGGAATTAGATGTCCCACCTCCCATTTTGGAAGAGATTCGATATGAACTCGCTGTGTTAAAATGAAACAAGGCTCCTGGACCCGATGACCCTCCCCTATCTTTTCTAAAAGATTGCGGTGACTCCTTGTTGACTGGACTTGCTTCTCTTTTTAACACGATTTGGAACACTGAAGAAGTGCGTTCAGACTAGCGACTATCAATTGTCGTGCATATTTTAAAGAGAGGTCAGCGTACTTTGTGCGAAAACCATCGAACCATTAGTCTTATTTCCATTACTTCAAAACTGCTTATGGATATCATTCCTCGACGACTTACTAGCCCGCGTGAGTACCGAATCACTGAAAGCCAAGCTGGCTTCCGTCCTGGCCGTGGTCGCATGAACCACATATTTACTCTTTGCCGAGTTTAAGCGCAGAGACACGCATACAGACGACCAAAGATGATGGTTTTCCTTGACTTGAAAACCGCCTTCGACTTTGTTGACCGCGCCAACTTGTGACACTGCCTATCCATGAAGGGCCTGTCAGCTAAACTCCTTACCATTTTGAAGTCCCTTTTCCGTGATTCCCGAGGCCGTGTGCGGGTCTGCGGGCATCTGTCTCCTGAGTTCCCCAAGAGAAGCGAGGATTGCCGGAGTTGTCTTACATTTCCTTTTTTCTTCAACTTTGTGGCCAAAATGATGATGAATGACTGGGTTCTTTCGAACTGTACCGGAGTGGAAGTTCTGCCAGGCGACCGACTGACAAACCTAGAGTATGCGGACGACATCGTTTTCCTAGGGTCTGTTGCATTGGCTATGCAAACACTATTGCACAGACTTGTGCGTAGCGCTGCACGCTTCGGCATCTGCTTTACACCTTTAAAGCGCAAGGTACTACTGTGGGGCTGAACCGACATACCTCCGGTTCTAGCCCTCTCCGAACAACCACTGTAAGTGGTGGATCGGTTCACTTGCCTTGGTAGCTGTGTCATCTCTGGTGGTCACATTACTGAAGAAGTTGTTTCGCGTATCAGCAAGCCCCGTGTTGCCTTCCAGCGACTCAAACATTTATCGAGACCGCGGGATATCAGTGTGTCAGTGAAAGGTAGGGTGTAGAACAGTGCGATAAGGTGTATGTTACTGTATAACGCAGAGACCTAACCAGCTCGTAGTGAAGACAATAAACGCTTGGCCGTCTTTGACCACCGGTGTTTGCGAAGTATTACTCACATCTGGTGGGAACACCTAATGATCAATGTTGAGGTCCGCCAGTTGATTTTTGACATGAATACTTCTGGTGCCTCACTCTAGTGTTTGCTAAATCTTAGTCGCTTGCTTTGCCTGGGCTGTTGTCTGTGTGCCCATTGATCAACTTCCTTGGCGTGCGTTGTACGCCGTTGTGGCACCAATTGGCGAAACCGCGAGGTGACCACTCCATGATATGAAGAAATTGACTGAGAGACTTGATCAGGCTGATGCTTGCCGTCTTCGTGGATAGAGACCTCAGGACGGTCCACACCTAGACCCTGTTAGACATGGCGCGGTCGCGCAGTCAGTGGCATTCGGCTTCTTTCATCTGGTTGTTAATTTTTCTTCTATTCTGATTAGTCTAACGCATTTCCTCCTTGCTTTCATTTTCTTTACCTTCCGTTTGCACCCAAACCCACAATCCTATCGGTGTTATTTGATGTTATTCTTACAGTGTGATTCGTGGCAACTGGATCCACCGTACTTCGTGTTGGGATCATAGTTGATCAATTGAATTAAACTAGCACAATCTGTTTAATGTAATTTATTTCACGCCTTGTTCACGTTTCGCTCTCGAATAAACTCCAGATTGCCGTTTACTCGCATTGTTTTTCCTTACTGGGGATTGGCCTACTCTCACAGCGTCCGATTGTACTGCTCAACGGTTTTCCCGCCATGCTCTGCTTGCGCTCGTGGACTGACTTGAAGCGTTGGGAAGATGGCTAACACTATCTGGGTTCGGGATATCAAGGCGCTGACATTGCACTTGTCCAGGGTGGGTCGTTCCAGGCTACCTGCCTGGGATCCCAAGGATAGTGAGCACACCTGTTTGGAAACGCTATCGGATATGGCTCGGAATCGTACTCGATGGCGATCGTGTTGTGAGACTTCCTCTGACTGCCTTTTCTCCCTTGTTTTATCGCTGTTACTCATGTGTTGTGGCATCCAGTCAATTATTTATTGGTCCAGTTTGGTATATATATATATATATATATATATATGTATATATATATGTATATATATATATGTATATATATATATATATATATATATCCTCCTGTTCTGATGTCTGACCCTTCCTTTTAGCCACCGAGTGACACGTGACCTATTCATTAGTTCTGCTATGTAACCAGCAATGTTCGTGGTTGGTCGATCTTTAGGTCCGTGCTTGGCCCCATTTTTTCCTCGATTTGTCACACGATACACGGTGCGGCTGAGGCGCTTTGCTTCGAAACAATCTAGCGTGACTGTGAGCGAGAGCACACCTCACCAGGATTGTTCAAATGTTTTACTGCATGTTCATGACCCCCCTTTAGAGGGGCAATGGGCGGAAAATCCTGAATTGGAATATGCAAACATCACTTCGAGGCCTGTTTCTTTTGATTTCGTCCAGCCCAACGGTACTGCTGCTGTTCTTTGGTTCACTCTTTATCCATCTTTATAGAATTCTTTCAGCTGAATGAAATTCGCCAACTTTTGAAGCAAGAAAACGTTCGTGATCTTATCTTCATCAAACTTCCACCAAACCACATTTGCACATATATGGTCATTGGCAGTGGTATGTCACGCAATCACGTACGGGCGACTGCGTCGGTCGTCTATAGGATTGTGAGTGATACAACTTCCTATGTATGCTCGACGAAACCTCTTTCACTTTTGAAATGTGGAAATGTCATTTGACTCTCATTAGGCTACACTGATAGATGCATGTCACCATACCTTAGCCTTTCTGTCAGGATATAATCCGTTAGCACAATTTCTTGGCTGGAATCTTGTCATGCCACTGTCCGTAGCAGTGTAGAATAATGAACCCTACAGTTCAATGATTGTTCTGAATGACGAGCGTACATCTTATCTTTTTCAAGCTTAAGTACAAGAGACGAACCAGCTCACTGGGACTGCCTCGTCTGAATGGTCTAGACGGTTCTTGTGAATGGATCGCAATGAATCTTGGTAAGTTTATCAAACTTAAACAGAAGCCTCTGTATTAATCTACATCCTAAAAACTTCCGATAATGTTTTATCTGGATGATATGGTCATCAATCTAGGCCGGTGGTCCTTTGTTCAATATTTCTTTCTGTATAGATTCACCACAACTGTGGTTATCGGGATTCCGTCTGAACGAGTGTCGTAGTCAACTTTCTCTCTCATAATCCTGATAAAGGTGAATGCACTATTCTCACTCCTATTATGCGAAACGATGTTCAGCTTTGTATCTTTAATCCCCTGAATAACCTTGTTTTCCGCCATGCTCGAGGGTGTGTAGACCACATGTTTATGGTTTACCAACTCCTCAAGCAGCGTCACCTTTAACCTCAGCATACTATTATCACCTTTTTGGACATCTAAGCTGCATCCAATATGATGAGTCGTTCTGCTTTATGGCGTCTACAAAAGAAGTACACTGCCATCCTCTAAGCATTATACAGCAATGTCTCGGATAGAGTGAGGACTTAAGGAAAGCTCTCTACATCTTCCCCCGTTACTATCGGTGTACGACAATGATGTTCCATGATCGTATTTTTCTTTTGCGATTGAAGATGTTCCAGTGAGTGTTCTATAAAGTCTACTGGGTTCTGGCCTAAAACTTAATCCATGCAACCGCGCGACTAACTTGGACTATGCTGATGGTATTGCCAGCCCGTATTCTTACATATCACTAGCCTGCCCTCTAATCCGAGGGCACTAGTTAGAGCATGCGTATGGACCGAGCGACCCTCGCAGTATCTTTAGCGCACGTTCGACTGGCAGTGGTTGCTTGACAGCGAAGCGTCGGTACTGCGTACCGGTGTACTGCTGATGCCTTTATCTTTTTGATGATATTGTTCACTCGGTGAAGACCTCCAAACTATATAGGTCATTCTAAACCGCTTGACAGCTGAAGCTACTAAGTATGTCATGATCATTGCCCTCACGAAATGCAAAGTCCTACTCCGAGATCGGCATGCACCGGCCCCAGTGCTGACTCTCGAATACATGCAGCTTGAACCAGTGGATAGCTTCATCTACCTATAGAGCTTATTTTTCTGCTGATAGCATCATTGGAAGGATTCCTCACCTTATTGCAAAAGTCCGATAAGCTTTCGCTAATCTATGACACTTGTGGCGTCGTCGTAACGTTTAAATCTCGTCAAAGAGTCTACAATACCTGTGTTTGCGCGGCGCTGTTGTACGGAAGTGAGTCCCGGCCAATCCGTGTAAATTACGCGTCGGATTTCGGCCTTCGAAAACGCTTGTATGCAGAAGATAGCGCGTGTGTGGTGGGGACACCACGTTTGCAACGATGATGTGAGACATCGTGTCAGGTGATACTGGCCTTCCTCTCGACAAGCTACTACTGCTGCGCCAACTGATATGGCTGGATCACGTCCTGGGCGCGCTCTATTCGCTCTCGCAGGACGGCACTGGAAGAAATTGCGCGGTAGCCAACCTATCATATGGTAACAAATGAGCAAAGCGCTGAATTCTGCCTTACTTATATCGGTCCTGTACGTCTTCCGGGTCGGTGAGCCAAAAATGAAGAACAGATGGCTCGAAACCCTTGAGGACAGACTGCGGAATCTTGTTCATGTTTGTTTGCTTTTATGCATTGATTCTACTAACCAACACCGTAGTTAATAAAGTGATAAAATGACAAGACGTGCGAAAACACGAGCTAACAACTTCATTTTGTCCGCTTTCCATTTTGTAGTTTTTGTGCTTACTACGCTCTATGTCTATTGTATAGGCAGTTGCTTTTATATATACATACATAATTTTATATTTGCGAGACACTTTCCTTAATATCGTCAGAGAAAACCTACATTAGATGTTTATTCTCTGGTTCACACTATGACGGCTGATCTGGCCAGAGCACGTCCCAGTAGAAATAGAAACTGATGTGCATTTTCGGTAGATACATCATGTTAGTAACGTTCGAGTACTTTTAGTGAACAGTAAGTTGATGCTTTCCAAATCTTCTTATCTTGCCCTACCCATAGTTGTAATTATTCTCAAGACGGTATGGGCGATTGAATTCGTTGAATAGTAAGAATAATCGAGTCAATTATAAGTGGCGAATGAAAGCTGTTGGTCTCCCACCCAAGGCTAGCACTCATGGGGAAGTTGACATCGAGGAATGCCAGTTAGTGAATAAATCGCAAATTTGCCACACCGATAAATTTCCACTTTCAGGTTTTCCCTCTCTGTCGTTGGATTGCAGCACAAAGTTTAAATCTTGGATGCTATTTGCTTCACAGTAAGACTCAGCCACCCTCATTACTGGGACCGAGTCAAAATGTATACATTTTCGTTGTCACTCTCCGCTACCAATACTGAAAACTTATTCCTTTTATCTGCAAATTTGCTTTCAGATGAGATCTATTAGGGCTCTTACCATGTGCGCTGAGGCTGGTGGTGGCTAGATCCTGACAGATGGTCTACCCACTGCTGCTACTGCTGCGCCATAGTCTCATGTCCTGGGCGCCTCCACGTGGCGACCGCTGGGTGGGAGTTGGGTTTCACCCTTTTCCCTGCTAAGATCCAGGACACCAATCCGCATGAGTCAGCTAACTGACCATGTGCTAGACCCGCTGCCTTTCGGGTGTTCATTTAATCGAAGGCTTTGGCTGAGGACCCGAGTCGTTCTTCTGTCAGGATTGGGCGCCCTGGCAGTATCCTAGTCCATCCTCTCCGGAGGTTAGGAAGTGGTCGATGGCCCTCTTCCCGTAAAACCTAGCCATGGGAGACAACAGGTTACGGGTGATATTCTCATTGCTCGATTGGCGTAGAGCACGAGTGCCACGCATTGTCTCTGACGGTGGGAGGACACCTCCGGGTGTTCAATGGTTTGCTACTGCCCGCCTCAAGCCAGGCAGCCCCTGGTCAAATTGGTGCAAACCCGCCAAAAACCCACCTGCGTCTGGCCGTGGTCACAGGTGCGTATCCAATTACGGTCGCAAAACATATGATAACTGTTCCAGAACCTCAAAGGCTGCGTGTGACGGCCGTCAAGCAGATCCCAATCTGTCTCTGCAATCACATTCCCGAGCTGGATCTGCTCTCCACTGCCTTGTGGGTCAGGCTATTGAGCCAAAGGCTCCGGGCGGAGTCCCTCAAGCAAACCTCCAAACCATCCACTGCCTTGTGGGTCAGGCTATTGAGCCAAAGGCTCCGGGTGAAGTCCCTCAAGCAAACCTCCAAACCACCCACTGCCTTGTGGGTCAGGCTATTGAGCCAAAGTCTCCGGGTGGAGTCCCTCAAGCAAACCTCCGAAGCACAACGACCACCTCGCGTGCGATTGCCCACCAATGCAATCGTATGCCTGCACGCAAAGCACTCAGCATCGGGTGCTGGAACGTGCGCACACTACTGGACCGGAACTCGAGCGAGCGCCCGGAGCGACGCACTGCACTGGTCGAGATGGAGCTGGCGCGCTACCACATCGATATTGCGGCACTCAGTGAAACTCGGCTCGCTGAGCAAGGTAAGTTACATGAAGCAGGTGCTGGCTACACATTCTACTGGGTGGGGAACGCCGCCTCAGCACCACGTGAACATGGGGTCGGATTTGCAATATCCGACCGCCTGAATGGCCAGCTGGTGGGTGAACCAACGGGCATCAGCGCGCGGCTGATGACTGTTCGCCTACGACTCGGAAGAGGTAAGTTTGCTACTTTCATAAGCACGTACGGTCCGACCATGTGTTATCCGGATGACACGCGTGATCAGTTCTACACTGAGCTATCCTCCGTGATACGGTCTGTGCCGAAGAGCGACCGACTATTTCTGCTGGGTGATTTCAACGCGCGCGTTGGGCGTGATGCATCAGTGTGGACAGATGTTATCGGTGCGCATGGCATTGGTTCAGCGAATGCGAACGGTGATAGGCTGCTCTCACTGTGTGCCACTCACGGCCTGACGATCACGAACACTCGGTTTGCACTGAGTGCGAGTGATATAGCAACCTGGACGCACCCACGGAGTGGTCACGCTCACCTGCTCGACTATGTCATCGTACGTCAGCGTGATATGCGTGAAGTGCGCATGACACGTGTACTGCGTGGAGCTGAGTGTGGCACTGGTCACAAATTGATGCAGACCAAACTGTACATATATTTCGTAAATCTATGTATTGCACTCCAGCCGTGAATCGGCGTAAATTTAACATTCTCTCCCTCGGTACTGTGGCGAAACGTACTGAGCTGGAGAAGTCGATGGCTGCACGCCTGTGTGGTGATGTGGACTGCATAGCCACAGTGGGCGACCTGTGGCACCACATTCGCGACCAGGTGACAGCTGCTGCCGAGGAGACCATCGGGCGCGCAAACTGTAAGCGGCCTAATTGGTTTGATGACAACAATGTGACGGTTGACGCATTGGTGTCAGAGAAGAATGCAGCATTTGCTACACATGTTGCAGACCCCAGTGACTTGGGGAAGAAGAGCCAGTTTTGCAAACTTCGACGGCGACTGACCCGAGAGCTCCGTCGCATTAAAAATGCATGGTGGACGGAGAAGGCGAAGCAGATGGAATGCTACGCCGAACGTCGTCAACACAAGGAATTCTTTGACTCCTTGAAGGCGGTGTATGGACCGAGATTGGAGCCGCTGAGGACACTGATCGATGGTAGTTCAGGCGCTACCTGCACCCAGACTGCAGACATAATGCATGTCTGGCGGAAACACTTTGACACTCTCTTGAACAACCGTTCAGAGATCGACTGGCCTACATTGAATGGCCTGAAGCAGCACGATGTGAAGGCGGATCTGGCGGATACGCCGAGACTGGATGAGACGCAGAGAGCACTTGCTCAGCTGCGAAACGGCAAATGTGCCGGAGGTGACGGAATCCCACCTGAAGTATTGAAACACGGTGGACCCGCGTTGTTGACTGCGCTGCACCACTTGGTGCAACGCGTGTGGATTGAGGAGGAGGTGCCTGCTGAGCTGAAGGATGCCCTTGTGCTACCACTGTACAAGGGCAAAGGTAGCAAGCGATGTTGCACGAATTATCGTGGCATCAACTTGCTGAGTTGTGTGGGCAAGGTGATTGCCCGAATCCTGCTCAATCGCCTCGTGAGTCAGATTGTGGAACCAAACGTGGCGGAAGAGCAATGTGGATTCCGTTCGGGTCGCAGCACTATAGATATGGTGTTTGCGGCTCGTCAGTTGCAAGAGAAGTGCAGAGAACGACACCAGCCTTTGTACTCGCTTTTTGTTGATTTCACCAAGGCATTTGATACGGTGAACCGCGAGGCACTGTGGCTGGTGTTGGGTAAGTTTGGTTGCCCGCGTAAGTTTGTAAGTTTAATTGAATGTCTGCACAGTGGTATGCGAGCGAGGGTGCAGCTGAGTGGAGAGACCTCTGATGACTTTGCAGTTGTCTCTGGTGTGAAGCAAGGCTGTGTGTTAGCTCCTGCCCTGTTTAATATCTATCTTCATGCAATGTTGTCTTGTGCTTTTGATGCGGCTTGTGCTTACGGTGTTCGTGTGGAGCACCGTATTGATGGTGGGTTGCTGAACATCCGTCGTTTCGGTGCGAGAACTCTAGTCTGTGAGACAACTATCCGTATGTTGCTGTTTGCTGACGACTGTGCGTTGTTTTCACACAGCGCGGATGAGTTGCAGCACATGACTAGTGCTCTGGCTTCGACAGCGGCCAAATTCGGGCTCACCATCAACACAAACAAAACTGTCTGTCTCTTTCAGCCTTCACCGGAGGTGCAATCTTCAATATTGCCGCAAATCAGCATTGGTGCTGAAGTATTGGAAACCACCTCCCGCTTTTGCTACCTTGGGAGTGTGATATCGACTGATCAGCAGCTACACGTTGAGTTGCGTATTCGCGTGTCGAAGGCGGCAGCGGCATTCGGGAAGCTTGAGTACCGAGTGTGGAACAACCATCAGCTTAGCATTGGCACGAGGCTGATGGTGTACAAATCCATGGTGCTGTCCGTTCTTCTAATCGGCAGTGAAACGTGGACGTTATACCGGTGGGATGTGCGATATCTCGAGCGGTTCCATCAGCAGTGTCTACGGCGAATTTTGCGGATCGGCTGGGGCGACAGAGTTGCAGACACGGAAGTTTTGTGCCGAAGTGGGATATATGCAGTGGACTGCATACTTTTATTGAGACACCTGAGATGGCTCGGTCATGTGAGCCGTATGGATTCGACGCGGATACCGAAACAACTTTTATACGGTCAGCTGAGTATAGGGAAGCGGCACGTGGGGAAACCAAAGTTACGTTACCAGGACATGATTAAAGTGAGCCTCACACGTTCTAATCTTGATTGCAGATCATGGGAATCGAAGGCGGTTGATCGGCGTGCATGGCGCGATCTAATCACGAAGGCAGTTGCTGAAGTGCTGGAGAAATCCCTCATGCATGCAGAGAAGAAGCGGCAGTTGCGGAAGCGGCAAGCACCGATGGATTGTACTCCATCGACATCGAGCGCATGGTGCTGTAGAACATGCGGTTGCGAGTGCCTTAGTCAAGCAGGCCTAGTGAGCCATGAGAGAGGTCACTCAGGACCACTGCCGAAGCGACGACGGGTCCCGCAGTGAACATAGGCAGCACCGGCGCAGCGTTTGTAGGCACGCTGAATTCGATTTACTAACCGCATGGTTGCATGCTAAGTCTCTTTATTTCAGGTGGTGGGTTTTCGGTTCTCTCCTAATGCCTTTCTTTCTCATAAAAATGTCTAGTGGGCCATGCGCTGTGCCATTTGGGGCCACTACAGAAGCGACGATGGGTCCCGCAGAGAATTACGGCGAGCCGGCGCAGCGTTTGTAGGCACGCTGAATTCGATTTACTAACCGCGTGCTTGCATGCTAAGTCTCTTTATTTCAGGTGGTGGGTTTACAGTTTTTACCTTAATGCTTTTCTTTCTCATATAAATATCTCCCTGTACTCTATTCCATTAACTTGCACACATCGCTTCAGCCAATTGTATTCGATTTCCATAACATTTTTGTGTTCGTGGCATACCGTGAACTATACTTCCTGACCTCGTGCACTTAGCTGGGATTTGTTTGTAAACAACTTATTACGTATGCCATTTAATTAAGGTTTATGTCACCGTTTCCTTATGCATTAATCGAGTTTTTCTCTTTTTCTTTCTCTCTCTCTCTCTCTCAAGTGATTGGCTGTTGTTTGATATCCCCGGTGTGGCTGCGCTTGATGTGCATGTTGACAAGGTGTCTACCTGTCTATTACCCACTACGTCGTCCATACTGGCTCCAGGAGACAGTTGGTCGTTGCTGGAGGGGACGGAGTGCACGGTCCTTGTGGCCGTGTTAGGCTCGAAGAGTGGTTCCATGCACTCAGTGTGGAGCGGACTACGGTCCAGTCACCGCCTTGTGTGCGCTTGATTCCCAAATACAGTGTGCTTGTGTTTGCCTGTGAAGGAGTGTGGGCCGGCTCCGTTGATGAAACGTGGTTCCCATCCGCATGCCTCCCGGTCTTATTCCTTCGGGTTTACACTGGATATGGGGTGTGTGGTTGGGGCTGTGGGTGGTGCAGCGCAAGCCATCCATGGTCCCTCTGTAGGCACAGGCGTCCTGCGGCTTGCCACAGTGACAGGCAAATCCGAAACCGGATGCCGCCAACCATGTGCATGTTTAGGCTATTTTTTCCTGGAGATATTTTTACGATGCTCGCATGAAGCCGTGTTATGCCATGCCTCAGAATCTATCGAATATTGTCATTGCCACTTTCTGCTTATAGGCTCAGTCCTCACGGTTATTTTTTCATTTGATTTGTTCTCAGGGAATATCCTGCTTCATCTTTTTCTACCACCGGTGCGTGAATACTACGATTTAGAGGGATTGTGGGCCGCCGGTCCGGAATACGACGAATATTCTCGAGTCGTGAATGTGCGACGTGGAGACATTCCGTGCCACTTGCAACAGGTTGACTGGGACCAGTTGATTCAGGAAGTTCAACAACGGAACTATGACACGGTCAACTCGTCCACTGATAGTAGACTGCATTAATGTTATTATTTCACCTCCATGAAAGTGTACATTGACTCGAATACCTCAATGCGCCATTTCCACTTAATGTTTAAAACAGACTACGCGGTCTTGAAACACACGGTTCCTTCAAAGCTAGTTTATTACTTGTTTAGGGAGATTCGGTCGGACAACCTCCTTGTTCCCGTGAAAGCGCACCATGCCAATTTTGCCCTATGGATAGTTATCAGCTCGAACTCACGAGCAGCCTTTCATTAGGCAGCGATTTAAGTCACCAAAACACGAGTGGCAGCAGCGGGCCACTATGGCTGAGTACCCTGCACGTTGTTTCCGTGCGAGAAAAAATGCCTGGCCTCTTGAGCTACAGCTTCTCTCGCTTGCTGAATGGTCATCTTAGGCACACTGTCTTCTTGACATACCAGAAATCAATATCGTGATGGATCTTCTACCACTTGGTTCAGCATCCGTCGAGAGTGACAGCACAATCCATACGTCTAGCGATACTGATTCGGCACTTTGAGGTATGGAGTCGTTTTTGCCATCTGTATGAATACAATCTACTCGAACGGAACCCAGTGAACAGCTAGCGGTTGGAATTTGCATTCCCGTTAAAAATTGTTAAGTACCATCTGCGAGCAGTTGTTTCTGTATATGATGTACCAATCCAACAATTCTGTCATAAATTGTGTCATCCATGTGACGTGGAAAACGGTTACGGTTGTAGTTACTGGTAGCATGAGTTTCTAAGTTGATCGTTGATCGCACCTCCAACAACATCTGGGAGATGGTTTCAGAGTCGATGCATGCAGAAATACTAGGGTTGATCAGATTCTTTCTACCACGTTCTTCCCAACATCATGGTTCACATCACTTTTCCTGACGCTCATCGCACTTTACCTTGATCTGGATCCAATTTGACCTTGCTTATCTCAGTAGCAGTGTACACTAGGGTCTTTGGTCCCTTTTGAGTACGATACTGGATTCCAATCATGGTCTATTGTGTGCATTTATGCCACCCCTTCGGCTTCGGCGAAAGGCTGAATATTGAAATGTCTTGCCTTTCACTTAGACTCACAGTCCGCAATTCAGCAATATCACCCGACCGCCTACTGTCATCGACAAATTGGATGAACGGAGTACTAGATGGAATCTTTTCAGAGGTTCTATGGATAGCGGTCTTTAAGTTACCTATTTATCCAAGTGGTGCATGGATTTCTGAAGCGTCGTTTCGATCAAAGTACCTAGATTGTTTACTTTGCGAACCAGGCTCCGTCGATATCCGATATTTGCGCAACCAGCATTTTTCCTCCTTTTGCAACAGTACTTTCTTCTGAACCTGGGCAATGGTATGTTTTTATGTAATTACGTCATTGGCGGCGATCCACTACCACTGCTTCATAGCAGCTAAACTTCGTGGTTAATTCATCTTGATCATATCCTAACAACATAGTTTCGTTCTGCCCATGTTCCTCTTTCCTTTACTAATTTGACAACACAGCAGGTGTTTCGGTACTCTAGTCGCATTCTTACGGTGTACATATCCCAGTTACCTTAGGTGTCGCAGTAACAGTATAGCCCATTCCGTACATGACGCTCAGGAGCACTTCCTTACCAGGAATTCTGTCACACCATCGAATACGCAAAATCCGACGCAGCCATTACTGGTGAGTGTTCAAGATAGCGGATGTCCCTCTTGTAGAACATCCATGTTCCGCTGCCGTATAGGAGAACCGACAGCATCATTGATTTGTATGCCGTCAGCTTGGTTCCAAAAGTCAGCTGATGGTTCTCCCACACCCGATGTTCCAGCTTGCCGAAAACATCACGCGCCTTCGATACGCGATCGTTCAGCCCACTGGTCATCCAAAACTTGACCAGGGATTCTTATTTACATGCAGCATACCGATTCCACTTCAAGAGATGGTTGAACATGACACTTACTTGTGCTAATGGTGACTCCGAACTTAGCCGCCGTCGAAACTAGAACCGTGAGCATGCTTTGCGGCTCATCCTCGCTATGTACAAACGACGCAAACAACGACATCCGGATGGTTGTGCTATACACGGGTTCTTGAAACGAATGATGTTCATCCACTCACCATCAATACAGTGCTAGAGACAGACACCATATTCACATGCATTGAAAACACAAAACATCAATATCGATAAATATTAATCAGGGCAGGGGCTAAGAGACAGCCTTGGTTCACACCAGAGTCATGATCACAGTCATCCGAGGTTTGTCCGGTCGGCTGCACCATCGCTCGCATATCACTGTGCCAGCATTCGGTTTGACGAATAACCTTACCTGGGCAACCAAACTTATTCAACACATTCACAGTGCATCGCGGTTCATCGTGTCAAATATCCTATTGACATCAATAAACAGCGAATACAATGGCCGGTTCACACACGGCCTTTCTCCTGCAATCGATGAGCCGCGAGCACCATATCAGTTGTGCTGTGGCCCGAACGAAAGCCGCATTACTCTTGGGCCACGTTTAGTTAAGGAACCTGAGTGACGAGTCGGTTGAGCAGGATTCGAGCAACCATCTTCCCACGATAATTTTTAGCACATTGATCGGAGGGTCATTTTGAGGAACCATTTGTGCGAATGGATTGAGACGCGCTCGCTCCATATGGACCGTGAATCGCATTGAAGTGAACCCTGGTCCATTGGATCACTGGGACCGTGACTGATGAAACCGCTCGTGGCGGATGTGACTTGCCACTAAATAACGTCCTTTCCGATGGGAGAATTGGCCCGCTGTTATGGCTTTTAGCCACCCCAAAGGCGTATGAACCGAACGATCGGTCAGCGGCTTCCAACAGATGCGAGTCCATCATATCTCCCCACTGCCTTGTGGTTTAGGCTTAATGCTTTGAGTGACGGTCCCCTAAGAAAACTCCCTATTTTGGCCTAGGCAACCGGGTAGTATTTCGCCTACTGAGGAACCATGGAACCTAGTTGAACTACACTCGCTCGCTCTGCTGATGATGTGCTCTTCTGTTACCGCTATTATTACCCTTTTCAATCACACGCCACCTGTTTATCTACATTTCCTCTGTACCATCATCCTCTTCTACCATCACCTGACCCTTCATCGATGAACAACATCGCACTCTCTGATGAAACTGTCGCTATACCAATCACACACCACTAAACTGGGATAAGACAATCCCAAACTCTCCTCTCACCACTTCTACAAATTCAATTTTGGAGCGTCCAGTTTACGTACCCTAATGCAGATTGGCCAACATGCCGGTCTTATAGCAAATGGCCAGAAGCTATCCTAGCGTCGAAGTAACTACGGGTGTCATTATAAAGTGTCTGCGGCATTTGCTTGCAAAGTATGGGTTGTCAGAAGAAATTCTTACTGATAATGGGTCCGTTTAGAAGTAATGAGTTTGCCGAAGTGCTTCTGAGCAATAGTATCAAACACGCCAGGACGGTGCCTTATAATCTGGCCGCTAATAGAATGGTTGAACGACTAAATTGGACATTGAAAGAGTCTATACAAGTCCCTCACTTCACAGAAGAATGCATTGGTATCAGCTTTAGCTACATACAGAACAGCAACCGCCAAAACTGCATCAGAACTGATGCTGGGAAGAATAATTTGGACCCGGCTAAGTGAAGCCTGTAAATTCGGATTCTGCCGAATATGAAAGGAGCTGATTACCAATCTAAGTACAGAAGACTAGGAAAAATTTGCCTTCCAGGGACCCTAGTTCATGTGAAACTACCCAGTTCCCGGAAAGGAGATAATAAATTCGGACCTTCTGCCCTAGTGGAATCTGTGTATACGCCAGGAACATACAGACTAGCAGATGGGACGCGAATAAATACGAGACGTTTGCATACGGCACTTTCTTAAAGTACCTCTCCACGAGCGACTACATCTACTGCAGAAACATCAGGAACAGCAGAAAGCCTACGAGTGTCAAGCCGGATGCGTCGCCCTGTCAACCGGTACATTTTATGAGCAACACAAAGTGATGTATGCACCATGTGTGTTCTTTATTACATTACGCAAGCAACCGCTTAAACGCTGACACGAAGTGATAACATAGTTACACACGTAGGAGAGGACATTGTGTTGTTGTCATATTACTTCATACTCTAGTTCATCGCTATTGATTGGTCGTGAATCATATACCCACTTAGCGGTTATTGGTCGAATCCGTGCTTGCTGCCGATTGGCTTGTGTGAATGATTCAAGAGTCATAACCGTTGTTTCGTGCTGATTGTGTCCGTATATCCGTTTATTCTACTTAGTTCCTGTTCTGCTTTCACGGACACAACACACAGATTGCAGGATGACCAGATGTCAAGCGTCTGTGTGTCAGCCCGAGTGATGGGTATCTACACAGTCTCTGGAACCTCCACATGTTCGTCGGTGCATTCCGACTGGGAACGAACACGAGACTCGCAAAGAACACAGGGCAAAATTGTATACTAGCCTGAAGATAGGCCGCGTAGCCTGGGAGTCTTATTGTGCATCAGAGGTGGAAACAGCCGTTGCTTCTGTTAACTATCAGAAGTTAATCCACCTTATACGGGAAACTGGCAGTAAGAAAGGTGTTAGCAAAGCTATATAAGGTGACAGATGATAGTTTATCTACAACCTGTTAGCCTGTTTGGAATGTTGGGCTGAACACTTTGAAAAGGAATTTTTACGGCCAGAACTGCGAGATTCGTAATCGACCAGTGATTGCCCTGCTCTCTGTGCCGTCATTTTGGATCCATCCTTTTACACAGAAGTTGAATGTGGGACCGGACTATTGAAGTCGGGAAGGCCTCGTGGCCAGATGAACCTCCCCCAGCCATCCTCAAATTAGGAGGATCTGCTAACTTACATGATTTATTAGTGCAAACAGAAGTTGCCCCAACCAACTGGAGCCGTTCGGTTGTGTTCAGAGTGCAGCTTTCATGAAGGTACCAGTCTGAGCTCCTTCGCCTCTAAGTTATTTGCTTTGGCGTTATTTACAGATCGACTGGCGTCTGTAAAAGCCAGACTCATGAAGAACAGACCGGATTCCATTGTTGAAGAACCACCACTTATTTCGGTGACTCACCGTAGTCGTGTTCCTCGACATCCAAAACGCCATCGATTCGGTGGATCGATGTGCTCTTTAAGAATATTTGGTTAGAGAAGGTGTGCCCGATAAATATGTAAATATTACCAGGGCACTTTACATGTGCGGTTCGGTCAAAGTGGGGGTTTATATTAAGCTGCTGTTGCCCTTCAATATCTCCAGCGGCGTAAGAAAGGGATGCACGTTATATCTTAATTCGAAGATATGCAAACTATGTTCTCTGGACATAACTTAAATGTGGAGTTTCTCCCAGGTGACTAACCTCTTGACCTAGATTGCACAGATGATAATGCTCTTATCTGTGACGGTTCAAAAACGTACCAACTAACAATGTGCAAGTTAGCACTGGTTGTGAACTGTTCCGGGCCGTGCTTTGCATCTTAAAAATGCAAAGCTTTTCTTCAAAATTGGCATGGACCCACCTCTGCGCTGACCCTTAGTATTGACCAGCTAGAGGTGCCTAGCAGCTAAATTAGCGCCTGTGGAATAGATGGGATTATAAACCTCGTAGCAAAGGCTCGAGACCCTTTCGCTCAACCTCGTCACTTATAGTGCTGGTGTGGCGTAAATTCAATTCCGATGGAATCTCTCACCCTAAGGGGTATAGTCTATAGTACAACCAGACGTTTAGCCCTTCCGGACGGTTGTGGAACCTGGCCTATCAAATCGACAGACGCAGAAGTTAGTTGCGTTTGACCACCGGTGTCTTGCAATTTAACACATATGTGGTGCGAACACTGCGTTAGCAATGAGCGAGTCTGATGTCCTGTTTATGGCGCAGGAATAAAAAGTGAATCGAACTGCACCATTATCCGATGGCTGAGCCCCGTGTTGCGCATGCCAACCCATCAACTCACGTGACGCGCGTTGTTTGCCTGACCGGGGTGTGGATGGAAGAAGAGAAGAGGCCAACCGAAAACGTAGTCAAGAGGAATGAATGCTCTCATTTGAAGACACTTGACTCCCTGGTTGGGGTCCGTAAGAGGAAATCTTTTGGTTGGATAGATCTGGAAACATAGATCAGAACCGACGTTAATGGCGTTTGGGTTATAAGGTTCATTGTCTACTTCTCCAACCACGATCTTGACAGCTATACCTACTATAAAACAAAACATAATAGTACCTTGTTTTGTGTTCTCCTTTCGTTACTTGCCCACTACCAAATAACAGGTATCTGATGGATTTTTGAGGCAGCTAAACAGAGACATTTCTTCTTCCTGTTTCCATACAGTATTTTTTGAATTGTATTGGGGCACAATAATCAAGGTATTTCACAGCCTTAGCAACAAGACTTGTAAATTAATTGGGCCAACGATCAGGACAGCTATTTGATCTAACTTCTTCCTCGTCAGATACGCTGTCGGTGGAATAGCCTATCAGGTATTGTACAAATGCACGAAGATTTCGCATTCAACTTAGAAATTTCCTGGACGAGAACTCGATGATGACCATGTTTTCATCAGGTAAATCACTAAATGGATGCTTCCAGGATGGACCAAGAAATGTATAACCAGTGAGAAAAGATGTTACACAAAACGCAGCGACAACGAGTTAGGTGACTCAAAATGTTCTAATGTCACACGCCCAAGAATACATATCCCACTCGTGCATGGGTATGATTATTACTGTACTCATGATCTGCCTCCAATTCAGGGATCTGCTTCTCGCACAACCGAGAAATATACCTATTAGTATTATTATGTAGAAGGGCGACGGTGAGCCTTGAATTCAAAACCTGATTGTCGTGTTTACCGCTCCCTTTTGTGGAGTGCATAATTTGGAATCAGCTGCTGCTAGTTGATGAATGACGTAGTTGCGGTTTGTTATGACGCCGCTATTGGAGTAGCGTGTATTACACACAGAATGCATCAAATACAGGAGAGTGTGTAGTGACGGCCGCTGTAGTCAGCTGATGGATTAGACGCGACACGATTGTTAAACTAAACAAGAAGTAGTATCCCAAATGTCCACGTAGATAGATCAAAATATTTACGGTGATGGGAACACTCAAAGGCCATAGCCCAGTGCGAATAGCTACTTGTGTGCGACACTATTTAGGAGCACAGAGCTGCTGAATAGCAACGACTGGGTGGGGGGGAGGGTACAATATTCTGTTAGCTTCGATGTACACTTCTAACAGTGGGTAGCCAAACAGACCGTGAAAGACAGAGCTTACCACCAATCATCTGACATCCGATTAGCCGAATATACGGATGTTGCCTCGGACACTCGGGTAGGTCGTATTTGATGGTCAGAAAATACCTTACTAGACCGCTTGATTAGTGTATGTCGAGTTACTTGTGGTGGTCAGTTACTCCAACTGTGCCTCCCTCAAAATCTCTATGTATGTAGCGCAGCTACAAAGCGGAAAACTTGGAGTTTGTGTCTTGTGGTACCTGTCGTACGAAACGCAATCGTGGAACATGATTACATAACAACTTGCCACATATGGAGTACGCAATTCTAGCACTGTCGGTCGATCTTGGAAAATTAGCCAGATTCCCCAATAAGCAACAGTTCGCTCTCATGCAACGCCTACTTGCCATTCTCTACGGAGTGCTTACTCGTCTCTTATGCTAACCGCCACGGAACCAGCAACCTTAGGTCGAAATGGAAGTCAACATCAAATGACGAGCGATGAAGATAAACCAAATAGCGGTTGGAATCGCATAATATTCCTCAGAAGATAGATTCTCTGGGTAATCTTAAAATTAGATAGAATTAAGGTTGATAACCTGGTTTCATTTGGAAACGGGAAGTAGGTAACTGATGATTGGAGGGTCATTTTGGAGTGCTCGTTGAGCGAATGGATTGCGATGCGTACTCTCAATGCAGACCGCGATTCCCATCTAAGTAAACCCTAGCCATTTTGATCACTGGTACTGATGAAACAGATGAATATTAGGTGTTGTCCGTCCGAAAACATTGCACCCTACGACGCGTTTCGCAATCCATCCAAAGTGGCCTTCTAATCAGTCATTAACCATGTTATCAAGCGTTTCCCTTCGTGACTGGATAGCTTCGGGGTGGAGGCTACAGTTAACTTCATAACCGCCCCAGGTTTGAGGCCTGCTATCTTTATCTGATGACATCAAATATGGTCGAAACGCGTCGCGGATTACAGCGGTTTCAGGCGTCCAACACCCAATTTCAATATGCTCCAGCTAAGGTGCTGGTGATCACAATGACCATGGTTCACTTCAATAGAAATCGCGATCTAAATTGAGATTTCGCGTTGTAATTCGTTAGCACAAATAGTTTTTCAAAACGGCTCTCCAATTAGTCATAAAGCGTTGTGCCATGCGATGTCCGTCGTGGCTCGGCAGCTTCGGAGTAGAGGCTTCAAAGAACAACTTAAGTATCTCGGGTTCGATATCTGCTATCTCTGTCTGAAGAAGTCGAATAACGCCGAAACGCGCCGTGGAGTGTATTCGGGCAAGGAACACACAATATGCGTAAGCAACTGATACATCCTCCGCTGGTCGCCTATGCGTTACTTCGGCCGACTATACGGTGCATGCATGCGTGCGTGTCTGCATCAATATCTTTGCGTGATTTGTTCATTTCATTCACCGCGCACATCGGCTCATGCTGCCTACTCAAAACGCCAACATACACCACAGCGCATATTGCAACCTGCTTACCCACCAAACGCTTGTACACATGCTTGACTAGTTGCCCTTACGATATACTTCCCTTGCGCCGTACTTGTTTCTGATTTCACTCGAGGGTAACAGTAAAGCTCGTTTACTGGGCCATAATCCGGCAGATTACGAGGCGTACCAACCAATATACGGCGCATAGCTCACGTGCATATGTTGCAAACTCAGTGTGCGTCATTGGCTAGCAGGCGTGAGAGGGCAACCAATCGACACGCCCTTGACACTCATGTATTAAACTTACATACGCACGATATAAATATCGTGAAGCGGAGTATGACTAAGTGATACTGAAGTAACTGTCAACGTTGTTGGATTAAAAGGGTTTGTGTAACAAGACATGTAAATGAAAAAAACGGAACAATATTACAAATCACCGGGGCTCAACGTGGAGTCACGGCTGGAAATGCATGCGAGAATTGCATAGCTGATCAACTCTCAGTTCCCTAGAGTTGAACACCGGCTGTAACAATTTACAGGGCAATCCGACCGAACCCAAGTGTTACCATTGTTTGTCGGTGCTGCTGTGGAGATCGTAGATACCAATCGCACTGAAAACTAATTTTCCGTCGACGTCACGGAAAATAGTGGTGCATGTGCCAGTGGCTACATTTGAAGCATCAGTCGGGACGTAAGCCAACATGTCTTGTTTGCGCGCATCCCTGTTGATCTTGTCGACCATACGAGTACATCTTGCGGTTATTCAGTAAATGGGATTGCCCGGAGCCATCGGTGATTGGCAAAATAGGGGTTGAGAGTGGAAACAATTGCGGCGACGAATTCCTTCCAGTTGAATTATACATAGCTGTTGAATGTTGTGGTCGATTCAATTCGAAAGGAGAATTGGAAGCATCTGATTCACTTGTGGTGTACTCCGTCAGTGGAAACTGGAACCATCGCTCATTTCGATGTATGAAGCGTTCCACGGAAGCCTAAAAACCCAAGCGAAAGTAGGCGTACACACACAACAAGATCGACACCATTGTGCATGAACAACCGGGAAGTAACAAACATCATAACACCTAATGAGATTCTTGGTTCGGCGCAAGCGAGTTATCGTCAAGCAGTACCAAATAATAAAAAATGAACTAAATGCCATTGCCTCCCATCTTCATACTGCGTCGTTCGCCAGAACATTAGATAAACCAACTACACAACAGTAGCCGATGCAGCTGTTCGATGCGCACTGTGATCCGAAAGCTGTAGTATATCTAGAACGCGATCGTTAATTTGTAAAATGTAGACTCATGAGGATCTCTATCAATGGCACCAGAAGTTTAGTCCAGTTCAAATACTCCGATGGTCAGATCGCCTGAGTGCAGTAAACAACTATTCAGACTCGCGTGCCTAGGCGGGCTGTAATCACAAGTATCGTTCAGAAATAAATGAAGAAGTATAAGGAAAAACACCGAAAAACGTTAAAAGTTCTCAGGCGACAAGAGGTGAGATAGAGCATGTAGCGGCGGAAGAGTAGTTGGCCGTCTAGACGCTTGGATGACACGCAATTTAGATGCGGTACTCACTGATAAATCATAACTGGAAAGGTGGATGGAAGATGAGCAAAAACGTCGTCGAAACGTCGCCGCAAAACTGACAAACGCCAATAAAGCTTACTTAATGTTCCCATCGGAGACGAACAAGCAAAAGCCGTCAACGGTGGACGCGTGAGTGCACATACACATGTGGTGCACTCTGCGGTTGATCGGCAAAAGGATTTCATGAGATGATGATTTGAAAAGTCACGTGATCAGTGCCAGTGATCTCTATGCACTCTTCGGCGACTCGATCAACAGTATCGGCAGAACTTATCACACAAGTGGACCGATCGATCACATTTAATGGTGGTTGGGTGAAGATGAGTATGGATATCGTGGAAGCCACATGTGGGACAGCACATTGTTCGTTGAAGAAGGAAGCGCATGTCCTTGTTGCATCCTGTTAATGAACGTAGTTTCATGTATACTCATTCGTTTACATCTTGCATGCATTGTGTGTTTGCGACTGAGAACAATCGAAATGTTAACATCTCGCAACATTTGTTTTCTCTCTGCAATAATGAAGTGACCATATTAGTTGTATGCAGCATTGCAAAGGAAAAATATGCTACTGTTGTATCTAACTTCTTTTCCACCTGTTTCTTTTATACCCCCCCCCCCAAATACCATCACTATTCTTTCTTCTATAATTCCCAGATTGGTCGACGGTAACTGTTATACCACTAGAATGCTACCTTCTATAACACTCTTATCACATTACCAAACGGGCTCTGATCCTCAACAACACCTCATCAGGCCGCCGTGCCCAGTTTCTCCGGCGGTGTCCAACGTTTGCACTTTGAGACAAGTAGGTTAGTAGGCTATGATCGCATATTATACATTGAATACGATGGGTCTGGACATTTGTTGTGTGTCCGAAATTAAGAGCAATAAAACTGTTTCTCCCCTCGCTGAGACGCTGATTCGGTAAACACTGGTCGTGATGGAGTGATCAACGTTTTCAACTTCAGGGCCGAATCGTCGTCAGTTGACTGGATTCGAATGAGCAGCCTTTCGTGCGCAGTCCGTTCGACGAAATCAAACAAAGATAAAAACCCGAAGTAGCCATAGAAGCCGTTTGTTCGTGTTGCTATGTATTCCCCGCTAATTACAATCAGAATGTTGTAAGCGAAACCTTTGACACGAAATTAACGCGTTACCAGTTCCAATATCATTCTAGATGCAAATAGCTCGTCTGAATCACAAGGGGAATAGCGGACGGCTGCTGCAGCTGTTTCTTGGCAGCAACGCCTTCAGGTACAGTTGGCATCGAGCTGACACTAAGTCCTATTAGTGGACACGAAATGACCAAGAGAGAGTGTTACCATAAACTTCCGTTGACGTGGTTCCATCATGGACTGTCACTCATTCTGGAATAGGTGCCTCGAACCTGATTATGTCTCGATACGCTCTCGACTTTCCACGAGCTTTGTCGGAAGAATTACAAAGCGTCTACATCGACTGGAAGCCGTCGCTCAGATAAGACTACCAAGATGCCCTGATTAATGAACTTCACCATTTTATCTTAGGGACATCGAGCTTCAGCAGAATAGTATCTCTAATGTACTGCACGAGACGGGAACATATGCTTGTGGTGAGATCAGTCATTACCGCACTAGCCACTGGATATCAGAGGCTGACGAAAATATTAATCCAGTTGGACCGAGGTGAGTACAAAGTAACCAGACGAACTATTAACAACGAACTAAGACGGAGTTTACGGGCCCAAGAAACGTGAAATAAGGGGTCAATGGACAATTACCGCAGGATCTTTCGCTTGATTCGTATCACTGCGACTAGCAAGGACAGCACCAGCGCACTAATTCATTCGCTGATGATATATTTCAGGCGTCTCAAAACTCGAAAATCAACTTTTAACCACCGCTTGCGAAGCTCAATGGCGATGACCGCCAAGCAATATGCGCCGAGTTCCACTCCCAGCTCATCTATTACCCTCTGATGGGCCCAAAACAGGACGAAACCGTCGGTCGTGGAGTGCAGAAATGGGAGAAAGCGCCACCGAAACTCCCACTTCGGTGACGGTCCCAGTGATCGTATTGATACAGGCTGACTTCAAAGTCAATCGAGGCCACAACTGAGATTTCGTGTCGCAATCCAACACACACGGCGGGTGCTCCAAAACCTGAAAATCGCTTTCGAGGTAGTCCAGTTCACCGACTGCTCCTTAGTCTTTCATGCTTAGGTGATGCACAGGTTGGACCGCGGCCGGTCAATGTGAAGGCTACATCGGAGACAGGTTCGAAACACAACCTCCGGCTTCAATCGTTTTCGAGTTGTCGGTCAGGGTTTTTCTGTATCAGCATTAAGTAAGTATGGCGGTGAGTTCCGCTACAAAACAATGTTGGACAAATACATCCAACGAGAGTGAATCGATCATAATCGTAATATATAAAAATGAACAGCCTCACTGTTTGTGCTATCCACAGATTTATTAGCCTAACGCCGGTTGTGTCAAAGGTACCAAGCACAATTCTCGTCCGCTCAATTACTACGGAATGGCAATCCAGGAGCAGTCCAATTAAGTTGAACAAGTAAAATCCGAGCACCGAATTGCGGTGGATCCAGTTGTCACGAATTACATTACAAGAATAACAATCAACAACGGCAAGATGGTGCGGTTGAATGCAAAGAGAAGGTAGAGAAAATGGATGCAACGAGGTGAGTTAGACTAATCAAAAAAGAACGGGGATTAGTAACCACATGAGCCATGTGTGAGTCCCCAAGCATTGGAGTATCCCGAGGCCACATTCAAGTCTCTCAGTCAATTGCCACTGGGCACAACACTGACAAAAGTAGTGCCTTTGAAATCCTGTCACATTTGATCCATCAGTTGGCAACACGACTGCTTGCTACTGCTGAAGCAGTAAGCATAAGACTGATGAAGCCTAATCTCTGCACACAAAAAGCTCACTCAAGCATCACAACCTTCATGGCCATCAGCCACAAGAGAGGAATTTGCTGCCGCCCACCAATCCTACGTGCCGCCAATCGCCTGATCATCTGACGCTTATCACGAGAACTGTTTAAGTTTAATTTTATCTAATCAATGGTGTGTCACTATACTGTCCTACAAATCGGCTTATTACAAGTATATTTCTGTACTAGGCCTGAGGAGAAAGAAATCGCAAATAATTGTTCGCCCTAAGCATTCTGCTTACGTTTCTTCTCGGGTTTGACAACCAAACAGGCATTCTCACGAAATTTCTTCATGCTTTATGCTACGTCATGGACTGGCCACCTCGAGGTTTCACCCAACTTGATGCAGCCACGGCGTATAATGCATGCCAACGAAGCCGATAAACGGGTATACAGAAAAACATAGCCTAGGCAGAGCAAGTAACTAAGATTTAGCAAACACTCGAGAGGTATTAGAAGGCTTCTTGCCAAAACCACCTGGCGGACCTCAACATTGCTCACCCGGTGTTCCCACCAGACGTGAGCAATACTTCGCAAGCACTAGTGGTGAAATACGACGAAGCGTTTAATGTCTTCGCCGCGAACTGGTCAGGTCTCTGATCCATAGAGTAAGACCAGCCTTACCGCAGCGTTTTACACCCTTCTTTTCTCGCCGTCTCCATAGCGGTTTGAGTCTCCGGAAGGCAACACGGGGCTTGTTGTTGACAACCAGAGATGACACAGCTACCAAGACAAGTGAACCGATCCACCACTTCCAGTGGCTGTTCGGAGATAGCTAGAACCGGAGGTGTGTCGGTTCAGCACTGCAGCAGTACCTTGCGCTTTAAATGTGCAAAGCAGATGCCGAAGCGTGCAGCGCTACGCACAAGTCTGTGCAATAGTGTTTGCATAGCCAATGCATCATGCCCAAGGAAAATGATATCGTCCGCACACTCTAGGATTGTCAGTGAGTCACCTGGCAGAACTTAGTAGTTTGATCACATTTCGATCACAAAGTTGAAGAGTAAAGGAGACATAGGACATCGCTGGCGAACCCCACTTGTCGTCGAGAACTCAGGAGACAGTTTCCCGTAGATCTTTAGACGATCTCGGGAGTCATGGTAGAGAGACTGCATACTGTAAAGTTTAGCTGGCAGGCCCTTCATGTATAGGCAGTGCCACGAGCTGGCACGGTCGACAGAGCTGAATGTGGCCATCAAATCAAGGAAAACCGCCATAGTCGGTCGTCTATGTGTGTGTCTCTGCTCCAACACTAGGCTAAGAGTAAATATGTGGACGATTCAACCACGATCAAGGCGGGAGCCAGCCTGGCTATTAGTGATTCGGTTCTCACGTGGACCAGTAAGCGGTCGCAGAAGGATATCCTTTTAGAGGGAACGGAAACAAGGCTAATGCCGATGATTTTTGCACAAAGTACACTGACCACTCTTGGAGATGGGCACGAGAGTCGATAGTCGCCA